GACGACTCTACGCCTCTGATCAAACTGCCGGGCTCGGTCTTGAGTAGACTTTATTCCCGACAGTCGGAAATTTTAATCAAAATGCCACTGAAAGGCTCTTTCAAACTTCGAAAGAGTATCAGATTTTTGTATAGAAATGTCCAGAATATAATTCACTTACTTTGTAAGCAAAATAAAGCACCAAATAGACAACGCTTAAGCAACCTCGTGACGCAGAGAAAATACATGTTACATTTTTTCCAGATAAGAGGATATTTCTCCAGTTTAATAATCTTCAGGAGCTAGTTATCCACTTCTGATTATTAGTTTCTTTGTTCATCCACAGAATGTACATCATGTTTAAGATCATCCTGCTTGTGAATTTTCTGTTTCTGGTGGACAGATCTTTGTCTTCACCAATAAAACAAAACAAAACTAAAGTCCTTATCCTTGGTGCCGGACTTTCTGGAATTAAAGCCGCGAAGACGCTACTGGACAGAAACATCACCGACATTCTGATTCTTGAGGGAAAGAATTACACTGGGGGTAGAATACATGCCATCGAGTTTGCGAACTACTCGATTGAAACAGGAGCGAACTGGATTCATTTCGTAAATGACGGAGAAACCAAACCTATCGTGGATCGAAGGGACGCAAAAAAAATGCAAGGTCTTACCTCTAATTACTCAGACATATTGGTGAGGTAAGACGATTGGAATAAGTGGAGATGTGCATAACTAGATTTCTTTGAAAGGGCTTATACACAGAAGGAGTACAAACTTCTTGTGAGGTCTCTAGCCACCTCTTCCCCTTCCTATGATAACTCGTAGCAGATAAAAGTCCGAAATGTGTGGCGGCTTTTAAAAATTGCAAGTAACACAGTTTCCATATGTTTACCGTCCAGGTGAACATGAACAAACTACGATTGCATTTATTTAATTTGCTTCAGCCATTTTAAATTTGAAAGAACTGACAACGTACTTCTTCACGACCACACCCCTGTCAAGTCTTCGTAGACCGTACCATCAAATTATCCTTTAGTCTATTTCCCTCAATTTCGTTTCCAGGACTACTCTTGTTACTAGTAATTTTTTTTTTCTCAGAAAGCGACTTTAAAATCGAGTGGAAACAAGAATGCTGGACATCAG